GCCATGTCAATCAGGATAAGGAAATAGAGTGGATATCTCATGAGATCTTTTTTTAGGTTCGCTTGATAACAAGCATAAATTTTGTTAGTTTGAGAGGATCATGACATTGTAGATCGATTTTTGGATGCTTGCTATCTTTAAATCTCACATAACATTCAAGCTTCAAACTGTTCATCATATATGAGACCTATTAAAAATGACAGATATGATCTGCGTACTTTCTAACTATAAGACAGTCTGGGAACAAGTTTACAAACCCATCAAAGATGCCAATTACAAAAAATGTCAGCTTTTAAAATGTTTCATGTTAGTTACTACTTAAACTTTTACTGCGACCAGTACACTCTGTGTACTATGAACATGGTTTTTTGAATCAGGTGTTTATTCAGCTCACCATTAGATCGGTTTTTTGAACAACTGTCCTATTTTTTAGCAGCTTCTTTGTTTCCGCAATTTCACTAGTAACTTCATTATACAAATGGATTGGTCAGGTCCGTATAAATTAATAAATTACATTAAATGTGTGTCAGTTTTGAAAGAGTCGGGGTTTAGCAAATTCTACAAGTAGTTGCACATCTCGCTCTGCGTTGAGCCGATGTGTAGAAGGTGTTAGTGCAGAATCCATTAGCGGCCCAGGCGGCACATTGAGTGGTAGTGTCAGCGATATATGATGTGCATGTTACAGTGGATGATCCTGTAGAGGTTACGATACCAGAAGCAGCAGTGGTGGATGGACATCTATTGCAGGTCCTTTGACAGTATGTATTGACAAAGTCTTGCATGCCAACAGTGGTACAGATGGAAAGGTCTGTCTCACAGTTGGTGACAGCGTCCACACATCCTCCTTCGTTGCAGAATCCACAAGATGCTGGGCAGTCTTGAGCGATGATCACACGCCATGTTGGCGAGTTACATTGGGATGAAGTGATTGTGGCGCAGTTGAGACGAGGGACTAGAATAGTTATTGAATTAGAGGAATGTTCTGATTTTAAGCCAATAGATTTTTCATTTTCTTCAATCTCTAAGTTTCTTACTCACATGCCACATTCGAACAACTATATGCAGGCGTCTGGCAGCACAAAGCACAATGTTTGGGACAGGTCGCAATTGCCGCTATCTTCATATCATCTACTATATTAGCTGGCATTGTTGTGGAACGGGTATAACAGGGGAGTGGTCTATCATGATGACGATCCGGAAGAGGATATCCTCCTCTATCTGGGTACAAAACGTTACATGCGGCATCTGATAAGAAATTTGAGCAAGCTACAGCCGCTTGAGTGTACTTGAACTGAAACGCTATTTATATTTTTATTAAAGGGGGACTCCGGTCAATTTTTTTATTGCATCAAAATGTGTTAAAATTTATCTATTTTCAGAATATTATTGCGAATAGAGTGCCGAGTCGACTCGAAAATCGATGATTTTTGTCGACTTTGAAAATCGACACAGTCGACATTCAAAAATTCGAAAAGGCTATTTGTCGATGAAAATCGAACTTTCCGTTGTCGATTTTGCGTAGACAAAAATCGACAAAAGTCGACAAGAATCGACTTTTGTCGATTTTGCGTCGACTTAAAGTCGACAGAAAAATCGACAAAAGTCGACAAAAAATCGACGAAAGTCGACGAAAAATCGACTTTTCCGGACTTCAAAGTAAAATTTCACCTCGAGAAATGTTTTTTTCTAATTTTTTGAAGAAATCATTGTAACAACTTTATTTTAGAGTAACAACTTTATTTTTATGGATAAAAAACAAATAGTGTAAAACTTAGTTTCAACGGGGGTACAAAATATGATGGCAAGGAAAATAGAAGAAAATTCAAAGCGACAAAATTAAAAAAAAGGGAAGAAGAAGAACAAAGTTCAGCATAAGGAATTAATGTTTCATTATTTGGGCCAATCGTTTCCAAAAGTATCGTCGTTATGCTCTCTAGATTCGTAATATTCTTCGCCTTCTGAGTCATCATTCTCGTCGTCATATTCGTACTCTTCAGTCGTCGACGTATTTTCCTTCGTCGTAGATCTGAAGAAAACTCAGATTTTGAGGAATAATAAACTTTAATATCTTACTCCAAAGTAGCCAATGCCGCACAAAGAAGTTGCTGGTTAAGAGTCTTCGGTTTCATCCTGTTTCTTCGGCTATTGTTAACGATGGAGCCGCAGACACTATAATGAAGTGGTCACGTAGTTTTTATAAACCGATTCCCACCTAAACGATCTTTCCACAATTGCACTAGACTGCGTGGGCGAGAGGAAATGCAGAGCGATTCTTTGAAGAAGCGGGAATCTATCTCTGTGAGCTCTCCAAAAAGTAACTGGGTCAGAATCCAAGGCTGGTCTTCCAGCAACCACAAGTGCCTTGTAGCTCGCCATTTCCGCCTGAATATACGTTTTCATTGATTTGGAAACCAAAATTTCAGGAAAATATACCTGGATGCTACTTCCCCCGACTGATAGTCTCTTGGATTGCACAAATTTCGCATAACTAGACTCTTCAACGTGTGCTTTTTTTGGAACTGGGGGCTGTGCTGATGTGGGCACAATAATCAATGACTCTGCAAGAAAATAGTTAACTGTGTTTCAGCAGAATAGAATACCAGAATAAAGCGCAATTGATTCTTCGATTTCTGTCCAGCGTACTCTCATAAGAAGATCCGGCACATAAGAGAAACGCGGGTCGAGATAGGTGGACATTAAAAGAGACTCGTTCTCCACATAGGATTCATACCTAAAATATTATATTTTAGTTATTTTTAATTCTGAAAAGCCTTCCTTGATACAGTTTCATCACACAGGCATCGTCCTAAAAAAGATCGTTGGTCTTGAGACGACGCGTAGGTAGTGAGATGAGAAAACTGAGGTCACAGTTTGTCCGTTATTTTGTTTTTCGAAGTATCGCCACGCTTTAGATTGATTTTGTGACGAATACATCTGCAAAAAGCAAGAATGTCGTAAATGAAACAGAAAAAAAAACAAAACACTCAAAAAAAAACAAGAAAAATACGGTTTTTCAGTGGAAAATTCGATGAAAAATGCCTGTTTTTCATGAAAAATACCCCGGTCACAGGCAGTTTCTAGGTCACCGGTCGTGTAGTCCTCTCGGACAATAAAGTCGACAAAAGTCGACAAAAGTCGATTTTCTGTCGATTTTCTGTCGATTCTTGTCGATTTTGAGTCGATTCAAAATCGACAAAAATCGACTTTTGTCGATTTTCACTTTCATCGACTTTTGAAAAGTCGATTTTCTGTCGACTTTTTGAATGTCGATTTTTGATCGAGTCGACGAAATCGACACCGATTTTGACGATTTTCGTCGATTTTTGTCGATTGTCAACAATCGACACAGCACACTAATTGCGAAAAAATTCGAAAAAAATACGAAATCCCCAAAATCGCCGTTGAAAAGGAAAAAAATTCAAAAAAATGTGCCGCCGAGGGACGAGGATTTTCAGTGAGAAACCTAGGCCACGCGAGCGGCGCGACTTTCTTACCGGACAATTTTTCCTGATTTTTTTCGCTTTTATCTCCAACAGGTAAAAAACGTTAAAAAACACTGTCGGCCACTTGAAAATAATGCTCTCAGGCGCCGTAGCCTAGGTTTCTCACTGCGCGGGAATTCAAATCCTCGTCCCTCGGCGGCACATTTTTTGAATTTTTTTCATTTTCAACGCCGTTTTTCGGGGATTTCGGATTTTCTTTGATTTTTTTCGCAATAATATTTGAAAAATAGATAACTTTTAACACATTTTAATGCAATTAAAATTTTTGGTCGGAGTCCCCCTTTAATTTCGGCGGTTTTGATGGCTTACTAAAGATTCAGTTGGAACGTAGTAAGTGCAGTTGCAGTCTCCACTGATTAAAGTAGCTATTGGATAAATAATAGAGAATAATATTAGGCTAGCAAGCATTTTGAAACTCGTTTTTGAAAATTTGCGTTTTCGAAAAAATTTCACTTGTGGAGAATCAAATTTGTGCGATACGTTTTTGTCTCGTTTTTTTACATACCATATGTTTTTATATAGTACAAAGAAATGTTTGTGCATCTGTTGAACATGTTGTATGTTGCAAAATTATTCCAATCTTTTGCCTGCTTGATTCGACAAATAATAAATGATCAGTTTTTGTGAATGGTCTGGGCCTCCGTGGCAGGAAACAACGGAGACCACGATGGGTTATGGTAGTTGAATTTTTGATCTTCAGAAACTTATGAAACGAGTCGGTTTATGCACCTCCAGCGCTGAACCTCCTGGCCTTTACGTACGGAACCTGCAATCTTATGAAGATATTTCGTACCTTTTAGTCATGAACTTTTTCCGAAGGTCTACATTAGCTTGCTAAAATAAACCAAAAACCTGGACCAGTTTTTCATCTGCCTATATAAAGTCAATGTGTTCACCATAAATTAAACCTAATAAACTCGGTAATCTTCCTTATATAAAACGCTAGACGCGTCGGTTGGTCCTCATGTCACGCTGTGGACTTTATGGTTTTCAAATGAAATGTTGGCCGCCACCAAAACCGAACCCGCGGCCTTCCGCACGCACACAGCTGCACCGTGAGGGCCACACCAGGAGAGGAAAGGGAAGGCGTAGATGTTCGACAGTATGAGAAAAAAAAATAGAAAAGTGAGTAGTGAAGCGCCGAACAATTAAAAATGCTGAAAAGCGTCGGAGGCGCGGCAAACAGAAGGCTGTAAAAATATACGAACTTTGCAAGACATTCTGAGAACAACCCCACAGAAACATCCATAGATGAGATCTTTTAAAATACTACTAACCCGATTTGATGGCTGGTTTTTCACTACGATGAGTACTCTCTGTGTATGTAGTGTAGACAGTGTTTGGTCAGCTGCTTGTTAGATCGATTTTCAAACCATTTCCTTTTGTTTTGTAGCTTCTTCGCCATCAATTTATTTTATTCGCAACGAATGGGTTGGTCAGGCCCTTATAAACAAATAAATTACATAAGTAAATGTTTGTCAGTTGTGAAAAAGGTTTAGTCAATCAGAAGTTAGCAAATTCTGCAAGTAGTAGCACATCTGGCTCTGCGTTGAGCTGAGGTGTAAAAATTGTTGGTGCAGAATCCATTTCTAGCCCACGCTGAGCATTGAGAAGCGGTATCAGCAATGTAGGATGTACAGTTTCCAGTAGATGATCCTGTAGAAGTTACAGTACCAGATGCTGCAGTGGTGGATGGGCATCGGTTGCAGGTTCTTTGACAGTAGGTATTAACAAAGTCTTGCATACCGACGGTGGTGCAGATGGAGAGGTCGTTACTGCAGTTGGTGACAGCGTCCACACACCCTCCTTCGTTGCAGAATCCACAAGATGCTGGGCAGTCTTGAGCGATGATCACACGCCATGTTGGTGAGTCACATTGGGCTTTAGTGATTGTGGCACAGTTGAGTCGGGGGACTGGAATAGCTATTTTATAAGAGGAATGCTTTGATTTTAAGACATTAGGTTTTTCAGATTCTTTAACCTCCGAGTCTCACATCTGACTTACACGCCACATTCGAACAACTATAGGCAGGCGTCTGGCAGCACAACGCACAATGTTTGACTTTGGAAGTCGTATAACACTTTGGAAGTCGTATAACAAGCTAGCGGTCTATCTTCAAATGCATCTGGAGTGGGATATCCCCCATTATCCGGATACAAAACGTTGCATGCAGAATCTGATATGACATTCGAGCAAGAGAGAATATTGGTAAGTTTTAGAGGATCAAAAACTTACCAATAGTTTTTGCCTTTATTTTTTCACCTAGCGTATGTTTTATAGTAAGAAGACGTGTTTGTACATATGTTTAACAGTCATGTTCCATTTTTTTCAGAATTTTTTGCGAACAGCAAAGAACAGCGAAAAACGGGAACATGTTGGCCATTGCAAACTGTCTTCAATCTTTGCCTTGTCGGTTTGACAGATGCACAAACAAAAAACGACCGGTTTTTGTGAATGGTTTGTGACTCCGTGGTAGGAAACAACGTCTGAATAGCGTTTGGAACACCGAGCCGAATCAAGACCATGTCAACAAAAGATCAGATACCGTAACACCTGTATTAGAAGGGCCGGCTACTATATTGCTCCCATATGCCTCCGGGGCTTTTATGTTACCGGGGCCCTTCAATTAGAGGGCGCCCTTTTGTTTTTCCAAGCCCTTCTCGGAGGAATCTAATTTTAGAGAGGCCTTCCATCAAAGGAGCCCTTCTAATACAGTTTAAATAAGGCATCGTGGTCCGTACTTGGTGCAATTTTTGGTTTCAGTTCAAATGTCTGCAGGTACAGGTTTATTGAATCGAAGCTCACCGGTTGGTGGTTTTGCATAGGGAATTCCTAGATAGCCATCGACAATTTTGGTGTCCTTCAATTTTAGTATTGGTTTTTTTGAATTCAAAAAGATAACATATGTATAACTCACATGCCTATAAATATTTCCTTGAATTGGTCCACATGAGGCGTGCAACTTCTCCGGATTTTCCTCTCTCTCTCCAGATGAGACAAGTGTCCTCCCATGATGTTTCTGTGAGAATTATCTTTTATCATCTATTTCCTTTTATATAACAATTTTCCACCCGTCGTGTGTCTTGTGTGATCAATTCATTTTGTTCGAATGCGAGAACGCTTAACCTACTATTTGACATCCTTTATCTCGCTTATGGAAAGAGATACCAAAAATCTGACAACTAAAAAAATGTAGATCATAATATGAAAAACATTTTATCAGTTAACAGATTTTCGATATCTGATATGGAACCGAGATAATTGAGCACAAAGCTCAAGTATGTGTGTTACAAAAAGAAATTTGTTAAAGAAAGACTAACATAGACTTATCTGCCACCTGACTGATTAATAAATACAAAAAATTAAAAGGCTTTACTAAATCAACAGTTTAAGCATGTCAAAAAATGGGGTCAAGAGCTTTGACAAATTGTAATTTATTTTTTAAAAAACCGATATCATCTCCCATAGACAACTTCTTCCAAATTCTTGTTATTATCTCGAATCATTTTAATGAACTCCCAGCGTCCCTTATGATATTCCTCTCTCATTTCGCCACGTGGATACGCGATACGGTAGTGGCGTTCCGGATGGTCCATTGTGTATGGCTCCCAATGAGAAAGACCATTTTTGCCGTTGGGATTTCTGAAAATTCGACCATTCAATGAGCGCCGCGTAGCATACTGTATTGCTGTTTCATCCCACATTTTTTTTGAAAGAATTAAAAGAATAACTCACCCATATTTAGCAAAGTTAGCATACATGGTTGTCATTGTCTCAATCATCTCCCAATCGGCATCATCAGGTTTGAACTCGCTATATAGTCCTTCTCCTAGGATGTATCGAAGGTCCGTACAATGAGTTGGTCCAACAAAAGGCAAGACTTGTTCGAGCTCTCCGAATCCACGTGGATTCACATAGTCGAAGACGTAGAACCAGACGTCGTTGCCGTATTTAACGGAGGCTTGAGCGCATGCAATAGTCCCACCATTGAAAATCGTGTCTCCGAGGAACTAAAAACGATTCTGTTTGGTACTGTAGAAAGTCCCCCACACTTTCAAATTTGAGCTCTAATATCTCAATTCCTAAACAAGATACCAAAAATGTGTCAACTGACAAAAAACTCTTCCGATAATATAATAAACAATTTATCAGAAAAAACTCACATCCACCAATTTCTCTTTCAACTTCGCCTCATCGTTTGGATCCACATTTTTAGCATAAAACTCATAAACTTTCTTTCTATTCTCCTCGAACTTCTCCCCTGTATCCTCCTTATATGACACACAAATCATTTCCTTTAGTATCTGATCTGCAGGTCTCGGATCTCCAGTCAACGAGAAAAATAGGCCTTCATGCTCTGCGACGCCAACCATCACGGATTTCTTTGGAGCCTCTTTTCTCAATTCATCCAGTGGTTTAGACAGGAAATCACCATCAATATTTGGTTGGTAGATGAAGTATCCGGTGACAGGCAATTGGTACCCGGTTAGTTTGTCCATTTCTTCGATTGGCTTGTGCTTGAGCCAATTTAGAATCTCCTGAGAGTCATCGGATCCTTTGTATCCAATATGTTTGATGTATTCCAGACAAGCTTTGGCTTCATTTCTGCAGGTTCTGCAGGCGAATTCACAAAGTGCGTTGCCGGACATTGGGACCACTCTATGAAAGAGATCTGGAAGAAATAAATCATTCTATTATTTGGAATCTAAGTCATACCTCTAGAATGAGGACTCAACGACAACATATCTACACTGACTCCACCCGCACTCTGCCCGAAAACTGTCACATTATTCGGATCGCCGCCAAAAGATCGAATATGGTTTTGGATCCATTTCAAGGCCAGAGTTTGGTCCCATAGGCCAAAGTTTCCCCGGCACGAGTCATCTCCAGTTGAGAAGAATCCTAGGATCCCGACTCGATAGTTAAGCGTCACTACGACTACATCCTTGAGGGGTAGGGTTCTCAAAATAACTTTTGTTCAGTAGAGCACGTTTGGTGCAAGCTTACCCCGATACCGAGTAATCACAATAGTCTCTAGAAGCTGACAACTCAAATCCGCCACCATGCACATACACCATCACAGGTCTACCAGACGTCTTGAACTCGTCAGACTCCCATCGTGGAGCAAAAACGTTCAAGTTTAGACAGTTCGCCTCGTCGGGAATGTCATCCTTATGAAACTTGATCATTTCTGGGAATGCTCCAGATTGTGGGCATCGCGGTCCGTACTTGGTGCAATTTTTGGTATCAGTCCAAATGTCTGCAGGTACAGGTTTTTTGAATCGAAGCTCACCGATTGGTGGTTTTGCATAGGGAATTCCTAGATAGCCATCGACGATTTTGGTGTCCTGAATTTTAGGAAATTAATTTTTTAAAACCAAGAATTGTTGGGCCTTATCAACATTTTCGGACCAACTAAATTAGATATGATAGAACTCGACAAGTACTACAAAGCGATACTAATTGAATAACTGCATTTTGTCTATGAACAAAGTTACAGATAAAATGAACCTGGGCACGGCAATTTTCCGGCATGTAACTTTGTTGATAAACAAGACACCGTTTTGTAACCAATATTGTTTTGTAGCCCTCGTCTAATTCTATCATGTATAATTCAGTTGATCCAAAAATATTGATTTTCAAAGAAAGGCCCGGTTTACAAGTATGGAATCAACTTTAAAAATAACTCACATGCCGATAAACATTCCCTCGAATTGGACCACACGAGGCGTCCAACTTCTCCGGATGTTCTTCTCTCTCCAGGTGAGACAAGTGTCCTCCCATGGCCTTTTTTGAAGCCTATCTTTTATCAACCATTTCCTTTTATATCATTTCCCAACCCATCGTGCATCCCGCGTGATCGGTTCATTTCGATCGAATTCTGCGATTTGATAAGCAAGGTGAGCGATACAAAAAAGGACACATTTGGACAGTTTTTGATAAAGAAATAGTTCCATGAAGTTTTGAGAAAAAATATTGATTTGATAAGACTACACTACAATCATTGTAGCCCCTTCAATAGAACGCAATGTTAATCTTCGGAAAAGATTATCACAATTTCGGTAGGAGACATCAAAAATCTAAAAAATACAAGAATGTTGGTCATATTATGACAAAAATTTTATCAGTGAAAAGATTTTCAATATGATATAGATACCGAAATAATTAAGCTAGAAACCTAAACTTCGAAAGTTTACCTCCTCGGACACATAGAATATTTCAATCTTCACAAAGAGAAAATCTGAGACTACTCTCATCTTATCTAGGCTTCCTGGATTCAAAATTATTTTTCAACACCTTCACTCGCACGTCCGCATGAAATTTTTCACCTGCAACCAATAAAAAGACAATTTGCAGTCTCGCGTAGATTTTGAAAATTCATGAGTCAAGATTTCTGACATGACTTCTATATTTTTGTGCTTTCCATGTTTCCAATTTTATTTTAGCTTAATTTTCAACATTAATTGACCAATTTTCATCGCGGAAACAAATTTTCAAGGACTCCACAGAGCACAGTAGTTTATCTGCTTTACATTAGCCTTTGATTTTCCTGAAATAGAGACTTCAAAGGAGTTGAAGCTCTATCTTCAAAACAAGCTTACCGATAGATATCAAAATGATTTTTCCACTTTTCAAAATATTTTCCATCCGTACAATTCACCATTAGTTTCGAAATATTTCATGAAGCGTCTGAATTTCAAACTACATTCAAAAAGTTTCGACAGCTTTTGGAGACGCAGACATTTCGAAAAGGTTTTTTTGTTACGAAATGATTATGATACTTCAGCCAGGGTCAGGTTCTGAAATGTCAAAATTCTGAAATTTTGGAACTTTTTCGAAGTTTTTATTAAATTTTCGGAAAAATATCGAAGTTTCACATTTTTGTAAGAGTAGATTACTCCAGGATTTTTCTTTTTTAAGCGAAATTCAATCATTTTCTTTAAAAAAATTTTAAAAATCAGGTACCCGGGTCGACCGGGCCGGGCGGGCCGGAAGAATTTTTTTCGATTCGGCCCCGGCCCGGCCCGGGTCACCGTGTCGGCCCGAAATTTGACAAGTATGGTGCAAACTGAATATGAACAAAACAATCGGGTTCAAAGAATAGGGTGGAAAATTTTTTGATGAAAAAAATTCAAAAAAACTTTCAAGTAAAAAAAACCGAAGAAAAGAACTGATTCAAGGAATCACTTGTAAACATTAGTTGAAAAAAAATAGTGCATCAAAAACCAAGTCTTGTGCCATTTGTCCTTCACGGAGAAGAGAAATAAACGATTGTGAAACTTGACAAAATATGTCGGCCGCTTGAAACGTGCGTAGTATATAAACACCATCTGTTTTCACATTGTTGTCGGTCCGGAGTCGATGGATTATCCGACAAACCGCCCCTTTGATCCCATCGACATCCCAAATTGACCGTCATTTTTATGGGATTGAAACATGTGAATCTTACATTTCCGGGGTTTAAAGAAATATAACAGAAGAAATTTTTTTTCATATCTCACCATTCCAAAATTTCGGCTGTAAGTATTCAAAATTGATTTTCAAAATTCCGTATTCCTGTGATGCTTTCAACAATTCTATGCATTTAACACCATAATTCATACATCACCGAATAATATTTTCCTCTTTTTTCAGACTTCAGATGTTATGTGGGTTGCTTGCTTTCGTCTAGCCCAATATGCTATGCTAACTTATTTTCTAAAATTTTGAAAAAGGAACATTTTTCATTTTATTTCACACAGTTCCAAACCACAGCAAAATGAATATCTCCTATTTCGGCAGTGTTGATTTTTTCGTCTTATCTCTGAGTTCCATATTCATCATTGAAGTTCCAGTCCATTTCTTTGGTGCATACTGTATCTTATTTCAAACTCCGACATGAAATCCTTGAAATGGAACCTTCTGAACTTTCATTTTTGGAGCGTTCTCTTGGATTGGACTTTAAGTTTCCTAGTTTGTCCATTCATATTTCATCCTGCAATTGCTGTAATGTCATTGGGGTTGATGAGCAAATGAAGTGAGCCGCTCGATATTCAGTATTATTTATGTAGTTGTTTGTTTTCAAGTGAGTTTATTTTAATGTGTTCCAGAAGCAAGGCTCTCTAAAATGACGGCCGGCCGGCCTCGGGTCCAGTCAGGCCGTCGGGCCCATCGACGGCGGAAGAAAGTTTTTTTCATATTCCCTTCAAAACATTAATTTAGTAGATTTACCAGAATTCTTCTTACATAGGCTACAAATACAAAAAGAGCGATTTTTCGAACATCGACGCCATACTGTGTCATGATTTCATGACTTAAGTATTGATAAGCATACTCATCAGGTCTAACGATTTCAGTTCCGGCTGCCCATATAACTCCGTTGGAGAATGTATAAAGAACCCAGAAAGCCAATATCCAGCTATCAAAGTATTTAACCCATGCTTGTTTCGCCAGTACACAAGCTCGATACTTAAATTGTACAGCCAGAAAACCAATAACGGTTCCATACATTGTCGAGTTCAGAAAGTACCTAGGATAATGAGGTACATCTGGGAGGTGGGTTCTCGAAAACACTGGTTATGGGTATCTATTGGCGGCCTAGCGGCCGAGTTTCCGACAGCCTTGGTTCTGAGGTCACATCGCGCGAATTTTTCGAATTTACTATTAGTGCCGGTATAACTGATTGCAATGGGTTATACCGAAAATGGCACTAATATGTAGTAAACATGCAGTGGAGAAATGTGATGCCAATTTCAAATTATTTAAATAATGTACTCCCTGCACCTACCTCCGAGATGTACCTCAAGATCCCATGTACCCTAGGAACTCAATATACCCGGGCGGACTGAACTCTTACCTAGAGCTTTTTCAGATTCTGATTTCGAACTTCTGAATGTGCTACCCAATGTGAAGTATGCTAAACATCCATTGTAAGAGTGCAGCAGCTGAAACTATTTCTATTTTTCAAAACTTTAATGTCCGGAGTATGAATACCGGTCTCACTAAAATATCACAAGCACTGAACCAAAGAAAATGTTTTTTCCACATGACAAACAACCCCTCAGTAATACCTACAAAGCGGCACCAAGTTTCAAAAGCCCTCAAATACGAACAACTTTTCCTACTTTGCAACACCCGAATTCTTAACAATAACTTTTCACATCTTAACCATTATCGACATTCCCATTCACATGTTCGGCGCGTATCTTATTCAAAACTCTAAATTGTATGCGATCTGTGAAATGGAGCATGTTGAATTTACATTTTTGGAGTGTTCTTTTGGACTGGTTGGATGGTTTTCTATCCCGTCCTTTTATGCTCTATCCAGCTCTTGCTGGGTATACAGAGGGAGTTTTAGTGCGGCTTGGGATGTCTACAGCTGCGATGGCTTATCTATTTTTCACATTATTTTGTGGTAGGTGCAAAAAAGTCCGAAAAAATGCTCTGGCCTACCTTCTTTAAAACCATAAAGTATTGCAGCTGTTACAATATCCATATTTGGTATAATGGAAAATATATTCAACATTTTGTTTGCTGAAAACCATATCTGGAGGAAAATTCGATTTCCCTATTTTATGATCAATTGGATTTTTGTATTGACCCATTTTTTGTACCCAATTTTTAACACTCCAAATCAAAAACATGCTATTGAATTTCTGAAAAATGTAAAACCAACTGACTGTTGATTTTCAGAGACTTCCAGAAATCGACCCATCGGTTTTCCGCCATCCAAATTTTCTTGTGCTATCCCTTGATTTGAAACCCGTTTTTCCAATAGTTCTTGCGTGTTTTCTCGGCACCTGGCAAACTATGGTTTTTGTCTATTTAATAGTTTCGAATCTGGAAAAATGTGCCAAAACAATGACCCTATCTAAAACGACGCTAAAAATGCAGACCAAATTTTTGAGAGCTATTTCGATTCAAATTGTTGTACCCCTTATCGTTCTCGCAATGCCAATGTTTTACATTGGAATTTCCATTGTTGCCAATTTCTATAATCAGGTCCTGAACATTCTGATCACTATCATCGTGTCCACTCATGGATTGGCTTCCACATTTGTTATGTTAATCATACATGAACCATATTGGAAATATTGTCGCACACTTTTTGCGGGAATCGGTACAAAAGTTTCCGCGAACAAAGTTGTGATCATAGTCTCAATTACGAATAGGGAAACTCAACAAGCTGGAAGACAAACCTAGAACTTTAATTCTTTTTGATGCCTAATTTTGAGTTTTGAGCCAGTTTATCTCTGTTCCTGGGAAAGATATCAAAAATGGTTAACAGATAAAATATTTTTGATGATTTGATAAAAATTTTATCGGTTGCCCACTTTTTGATACCTTCTACAAGAACCGAGATAAATTGGCTCAAAGTTAGCTGTGTTGTTTTGATAAATGATGTGTGGAATTCAAATTTTCTTTCTAGCAAGATATTTTTGGTTGTCTTGGATTATCTTCTATTTTCAGAGTTTACAGAATTTTTGGTAGTATTTCTGGAATAATGCGAACACGGGATAAACCAATTTGATTATCCAAATCAGCTCCTGTACGATTTTATGTTATCTGAAGAAATAACACGTCAGCCAAAGTGAGCTGAAAACATTCGTCTAGAAATTTGGTATTGCAGATAACAGCGGTTTATGAAATAAACATAATATTTATTAAAGAAAAAAATAGAAAAAAAACAATGTATTTATCGAAATTTTCATAATATCGGCCCTTGAGGAGTTGAACTTGTGGGCCCACCGTTGAAGGTGTCGAGTTAATACCAGCTGAGCTACGTTGGCAGAATTTGCGTCAGGCGTTGTGTGAACACCGATCACTGTACACCGTTACGTCAAAATACATACTCTCGTCCCGAAAAAAAATCCATAAAAATTTCCCCTCCCTTTAACGAGATTGTTCAATACCATATCTATGAAAAAAAAAGAAAATATGTTGACAAAACCTAAACTTCAAACCTGAAGACGTCAGCACAAAATCCCGGTGTCAATCCCTATTTGATCCGATCACTTGCACTATCTCGAATGCACACGGCCCCATAATCCATACCTATGGCCGGTTTAAGAATATCCGATAGGCTTGACATCTTCATTTTCATTTTCCCATCACACTCTCATCAGTCGGAATAACATAACGTCTCCAAAGAGAAAATGCTCCCCGCCTTAGATTCTTTGGATCCTTGCACAATTATGCTACTAATTTCAGTGCCCATTTTTGTCGTCGTGTTATTTTTCTTTGTTTGCCAATACCGGAAAAACATTTTGTACATTGAAAAGTGTGCAGTCTATACGAATCGTGGCGCGAGATTCAGTGAAGGTGAGCCATCAATGAAAGTAATAATTTTGAAAAAAACTGATTTTTTTAGATTTCGCGATACCTCAAATCATCATTTCTCCGGGACGTCGTCAGCCAGAATTCCACGATTCTGCTCGTGCATCACCGATTCCATTTTTGAAAGACGTCACTCCAATTGATGCTTCCAGATTGTCACCTCCTCCGTTTCAGAGAACTTGAGAAATTGAAATAAACACTTATCAAGTTGAAGTTTTTTTTTTGGTTTGGACTCTAAAAGAAGGGAGAACAGGAGATTTTTTCCGGGGTTTTTTTTCAACATTATGTATTATCTCAGGCCTTCTGACCTTCAGGGGGTTATTAAACCTGAGGCCTCCTGGCCTGAAACACTTCAAGGGTTTACAACCATGCGATTCGGTCATGTCATACGCTTTGTACTTGATATGCCTTTTTTGGGTACGACCCCGGTCCATTTTGGATTCCAACGCTTCTATGCTTTGCATAAAGAATTCCGTAATCTCCGCAAAATCGTGATTTGTGTCTTCGAATCGAACTTCGATCAAGTTTCGGACATGCCACCCTCTCCTCCCTCTTCTCTCTGCCTAATTGTTTTCTTCGTGATCTTTCTAGGTGTATAGTGTGAACTGACGATTTGTATTCGAAGAAAGTTGAACATTTCGCACTGCCTGAGTGGATCAAGAATCTAATGATAAGGAAGTTGGTGTAAAATGTCATACTTGCTACTGGGTCAAAATTTTCTCACTGCGGTTTGACGTTGAGTTCAATCATTTCAATTTCTATTAGAACTAGTAAAAATGTGTCAACTAATAAAATGTTGATTTAATTATAAAAAAATCTTAGTTGATAACTTTTTTGTATCACTAACAGCAACCAAGACAAATTGACTCAATATTAGAGGTTATTCTGTTACAGTATGTATAATACAGTTTGAGTTTTGAATTCCAGTTTGGCAGTGGTGTTTCGTGGAATAATAGAGCTAATTCAAACTTCAGATAAGCCTTCGAATCCAACATTGAAAATTCTTAAACGTTCCTCAATCTTTTCTCGTATTAATCCTGCATATTGGACATTTGTTTTGGAAGTCCAACCGGTTCAAGTTGTGACATCTTCAAAATCAATCAAAACTTCTAAAAGACGGCCACTACTTAAAGAAACCACTTTCAAAAGCCAACACTTCAAAAGAAAGTGGTTATCTCTCCCCGATTAGTCTTACGTTCACTGAACCCAAGACCAAGTCTTCCTAACAAGGAAAGATTTCAATCTCTTCTATGACTTTCTGATCTTCCACAAATCTTATGCCCGGTGTATATTCTAAAAACTCGTTTCTTCCGACCTGCGTTGTGTGGCCATAATAAAGATGTGTATTTTTGTAGTGAAATTGTGTCCACTAACATTTCCAAAACTTACAATTAGATTCGGAAAAAAATCGTTTCTATGTTTTTCTTTAATAGATTGGTGTCGTGAAACATCACATGTTTCACGATTCTTTCTAATTATCAAACAGAGCGGGCAAAGCCCTTGTAACTTTCTTTCAGGTATGAATTTCTCCCCCAAAATTCTACTGGTCCAAGCACTCCCCATTGCCCTCCAATCGACCTAACTATCCTACGGTTCCGGATTTCAAACTGCCGCCCAAGGAATGATGACTGTTATCAGAGGAGCACGCTTGCCGACTACGCTGATTTCACTTGGTTCCGTCTCGTTACTTTTTTGCTTCGCTACGTTCCGATGACGTCGTTTGTTTCTTTTAAATTTTTTATCTAACTTGTTCTTCTTTTCTTTAACTTGTTTCCCCCTTAACTGCAACCCTCCTTATCGTCTACGCGTCCCCTTTCTTTTGTTCTCTCACTCTCCCTTTATGCTATATTTTGTCTTTTAGGCCCAATCTAGATTTGACATTTCTTTTATGATCATTATTTTCTAACAGCCCAAATCAAACATGATAGAAATCAACGAGTACTACAAATCCTTGAAAATTTGTGTTTGGTCTATGAATGAAGTTACAAGCCATGAAGCTGTCGGGCCGGGGCCTGCTTGGTTTTCAGCCCGTTTCGTCCGTGACTTTATTCAAAAACAAGATACAAATTTCAAAGTAACATTATTTTGTAGTACTCGTTGAGTCCTATCATATCTTTTGTTGGCCAGGAAACATTCATCCTGGAAGAATCCCATTTGACTTAAAGTCTGGGTATGCAAAACTATATTTCTCAGCTTTTCGATTCTAACCCTTAACGTCGAATTATGTATTCCAAACATATGTATGTGTTTCTCAACATTCCAGGTGCATATTTTACGATTCGGATTCTCACAAAACCCGATGGAAGGCCAAAAGTCCAACCATGCTTCTTCCGCATCTTATATTCACACGCACTCATCTACAGTATGCCAAACGAGAGAAGGCGGTGCCTAGCGTCAAAAATTGGCAAAAAAAACTAGCAAGGAAAGCTAGGAAAAATATACATTAGCGTATATATTTTTGGAACATTTTCTGAAAACCATGCGACAGGATTTACAATCATTAAGAGGGCTCGCTATAATATTCGTGTTCCTGTACCATCTGTATCCAGCAATTTTCGTGAATGGATTCTTGGGAGTTGATATGTGAGTGCAGAAATTCTTAACTTTTTCAATTTTTTTTTGTAATTTTCAGCTTTTTCGTCCTATCCGGATACTTGATGGCCAGAAACTTGACGAAGAAGAAAATAGAAAAATTCACAGATTTTACAACTTTTTACTACAAACGATTCAAGAGAATTCTTCCATTGTATTATCTTATAGTTTTGATATCTTTTATACTGGTCCATTATTATTTGGGTCACTTTTGGTGGGAAATCAACTGGAGATACTCGTTGGCTTCCCTGTTTCTAAGCACTAATCAGTTATTGATAACTGATTCTAGAGAATATTTCAAGCAGGTTGGTTTGAAATACTGTAATTGCAGAAAAACTGAAAATGAGATTATATTTTCAGTTCCTGGCTGACGAAAAATCTCCAAATGTGTTCCTCCATCTATGGTCGTTGGGGGTGGAAATGCAATTCTATCTTATTGCCCCATTTATATTACTGGCTCTTCAATGTCTCAAAAGTGATACCCTGAAATTCATCGCTGTCCTCCTGACTACAGTAATCGGTTTCATACCGTTTCTCCTTCTCAATGCTCACTTTGCATTCAATTTCATGCCATTGAGACTTTGGCAGTTTGCCGCAGGCTTTTGTGCACTCTTTTGGAGCAAAATAAATCCTGAAGAAGAACTTCCAGAGAAATCAAAAACCACAGATAGCCCAAAGCGGACCCTGCCAATTGGAAAAGAAGATTTTGTGACAGTAGGAGTAGCTGTACTCATATTCTGTGTGTTTCCCAGCCGCCTGGATGTCCATGTTATAAGACCAATTGTCACCTTAACTACGGCATTTTTGATAGTTGCAAAATCCAAGGAGAACAAGGTAGTCAAGTTTGTGAGGAGTCAAAAAAAAATGGATAGAAGATTTTCAGCTTCTGAAACTCGACGCGCTAGTTTATACAGGAAATATTTCGTACATTGTCTATTTGGTGCACTGGCCAGTATTAACATTTTTCTCGATCAAGGAAACGTTTCAATGTAATTTGCTAGTGATATGTGAGTTTTTGTTTTTTAAGACCGGCTAGGATTAGAGGAATTACGGTAACACTCGTTTTAAAGGTGCTACTTTTGTGCATACTTGCGAACCGTGCCTTTTCTGGTCCTCCGCGTGCTTTGCCATAGTTTTTTAAAAAGTATTAATACTTTTAGACTAACTAATTTAGATAGGATAGAACTCAAAATAGTACTATTTGGAGATTTGTACCTTGTCTATGAACTAAGTTACAAGTCATAAAGTGACCGTGCCGGGTCTTTCTTTTTTGTCTGTAACTATGTTTATAAACAAGACACCATTTTCCATTTGATAGTACTCGTCGAGATCTATCACAATTAACTTAGTTAATCTGAAAATATGAATCCTCAAAGAAACTTAAGCAAGAAGAATCGGCAAAGGCCCGGTCGCAAGTATACTTTTGTGTGTAAATTATGAGCCACCAAATACCGTCGAAAACTTCGGTCTAGCCCATAAGAGCGGCAGCAATATGAAGATCATGGTCCCAACATGACTACCATAGCCCCTTCCCTCCTACCATGGCCCCATTTCTCCAATCACGGTCCCATCACCAGGTTATCCCCAAAGAAAGCCCAAGATCGGGTCGTCGGTTCCAAAGAGCTACCCCCAATCCATCCCTTCGACCTTATTATGGTCCTTTTCGCTTTGTCGCGGTCCCATCTTTGGGTCCCATTTTGACACCTCTGTTCTGGGATGGACCCAAAAACTTATATGTCAAAAAAGAGCATCTCTAAGACTAGCCAGTTTTGAATTTCATATTCCTTAAACCTTGTTTTTCTTCCAGTACTCACCATCATCTCGTCCGTCCTATTCCACCACCTCTACGAAAAACCGTACCTGCAGTTGAACTGGATCCAGATTGTATCTCTTGTCTCTAGTCTGATCCTTGCTAACGCTCTCGTACAGTACAGCGTCCGTGAACATCATTTCTGGGGGCGGACTTATTCCCCGGCAGTTCAAAACCTTATCGATGCTAACGAGGCATCACAATATAATTGGGCAAGCCCTAATCTGAAAGATGAGTGTGTGACGAAAGATATGAAGCATCCGGACCAGAACGCTAATGGTTACGCGTATTGTCTCTTCCCGGTAACTTCGAAAAAACAACTTTTGGAAAAATGTTTTTAAAAAATTTCAGCCTGGTAATGGGACACTAAAAATCAATGACATTGGAAATAGTTATGCTGAGAATCTAAATGAGCAGATTCGAGATCAATTTCATTATAATTATTCCGAGTTCAGATATCTTTCGGTTGTAGGTGAGTCGGAAAAAATTTGGTCCACAATAGACCAAAAACTTGATTTTCAGGAGGATTCGGAACTTACAACGCTCCATATATAACAGATATGTACCGTCAGCAAGTTGAGAAATATAAGCCAGATGTGCTTTTCATCACAGCAAGGTTCTTGAATCTCGATAAATGTTTTTCATGCAAATATGTATTTTTTTCAGATTCTCCGACGATATTAAGCTCCCAATTAAAGAAAACGACGAAATCGTACAACAAATCAACGATAACATAAAGTTCTTCGAAAAACACGTCAAGAAAATCTATATCTTGGGATCCATGCCATTGGTCCGTCTGAACTTTATGAACCATTTTCTACAGTATGTCATCAACAAGCCAGAGGACTTGGAGCAGCTAAATTTGGACCAAAAAATTGCGGATGAGGAGCGAAAGAACGCTGTGGAGAGGTTGAATAGAGTGAAATGCGAAAAGTGCAAGGTAAGGTACCATAGGTACCATATCTATCGAACTGTCATGTTTTCAGATCTACGACCTTAGCCCGGTATTTGCAAAAAATGGAAAGTACCTAACTTTCGACAGAAACACTATAATGGCATATATAGACAACTCGATTCACATCACAGGAACTGGATTTAAACTTTTGGAGCCAACGTACGCAAAACTAGCTAGAGAAGCTACGGATACGGTGTGAACTTGATCATGACGACTGAAGAAGAACTCTGTATTTTTGTGTTATTTCCAGTGGTTAATTATGTATTGCTTTAACAACGAATGAACTATTCGATTTTTTATCGTGATGCCTTATTGCTATTCTCAAGTTTGGTGTATTTTGACCGTTTCTGCTTTGAAAGCTGCCTATGGGTCCCTTGTCAGGCAGCTGCTCCTAGGTGGTTGCAAAATTTGAAATTTGTTGTGTTATACTTCGAATTCAATTAGGTTTCATATTTCACACATTTTCTCAAAAAAACAAAACAATGCTGGGCAGTTGTCTTTTTGAGAATACATATTTGGAATCTGTTCAAACTATTATATTTTATGATATTGTAATTACACCAAGTGTTCCACCAACCCATTGTGCAGTTTTAAGCAGTGGTTTCCAGTACTGGAGAGGTATCATCATGAACGGGAGAAAACTAGTCCGAAATTATTACTTTTTTTGAAGGAGTTCTTAAAAATATATTTTCAGTAAGCTGAAAACAAAAATTCCTTTGAGAGTAGTTTGAGTAGAGATAATACATCATGTTCCTATAATTATCTAGACAGTGGGATCCTATGGGAGTATATAGTTAAGTTCTAGTTCAAGTTCTGTTCCGGAAGTCACACTATGAATCTCGGCTTCGTAGATTCACACTGGTTTGTTTTGTTGGTTTTTGTTTGGTCCCACAGCAACCTTCAAAACCAAGCCGTACTCACGAAAACTTTCTGTTCACTTACAAAGTATAGTTTTTCGATAACTCTCCACAATAAACATAGTTGGCAATGGGTCCACAGCTGGATAAATGACAATTGTCGCTGAAACAAAACTACTCCAGACACCAACTTCAATATTTAGCATTGGACAAGAGAAGAGGATTCCAGCAGGCCCATACATTAGAATTAAGGGGATGAGTGTCTTAATTATGAATGGTTATTATATTTCTGAAGATATATTACTTGAAAAACGAGCGCGACAAACAGTTGATGTTGAATGGATTTTGTGTAAAAGGAAGACATTTTTGAGTTCTTCAATGCCTTGGTTATTTTCACATAACACTTGATTCCAAAATAAACAACACAGAATATTGAGGAGGATGTGATGATCCAAATACACGCCATGCCAAAGAATGTGGACCAAACTGGCGAAAGTTGATTGAATTCGCTTAGTGAGTGGTATTGGACAATAAAATATGATATATCCTCAATTCGAGTGTCACAACCTTGTAAGAGAGAGATTCTGAAATTTATTGTTTAATGGAGCTTTATGTATGCACGCTCTCCCACAGAACAATTCCGAACTGCAAATTAATTTTTGATCTACAGAAAAAAAGTTTGGCGCGATCACAATTGCAGGTCTAAAACCATAATTTCAGAATGTTTCATCTGATTTTGTGGAGTTCCAAGATGATTCAAATGATTCTTAAAAAATTAATTAGTCGTTATAGATTCATGTATGGTCGTTTTCCGGAAGAAAAAAATGTCAAAAATGGTCATTTTTGAATGTTTTTTACAGATAAAATCTATTTCCTCTTTCAGTTTTTGACATTTCTAGGAGTCAGCTCAAAAAAACCGCAATTATTTTTTCTACATTTTCTATGGATGAATTTTTAATTTGTCTGATAAAACTTTTTTATAATTCAAAAACCTCATGAAATTGCACAAAATAGCATTTTTGCGTTGTTTTTTGATTATAAAAAAGTTTTATCAGACGAATCAA